GAAAGAGGACTGCAGCTGCAGGCTCCACACTCCTACAAAAAATGTCAACCTAAAGATAAGGTAGTTCTTCTGACTGATGTAATTTACTACTTGGGAAAGTATCTCCCAAGGTCCTGCTAGATTCCTCTCAGATTTCCAGGTTTTCTTCAGTATCCCCCTCCTTTGTTTGAAAACCAAATAAATATGGGCCTCCCTGAGAAGTTTTTGTCTTAGCCCCAGAAAATCTCAAATTCTGTTAAGAGGGTTTGGAACCTCCTAGAGCCCTGAAATCATATCACTTGTCTCATTTATTTAAGCCTTCACCATCCATTCATTTGGAAGATTGTGGGCCTGATCAGTCCACAATAACTAAAGGATAATACTAACCCAATAACTATGTACTTCTTCCATGACTTGAGTAATCATTTGTATTCCTAGTACTTATACATATTTGATTTTATTATTTCAAAAATTTAAAAATCCTTTCTTGAAAGGCTAAAATTATTTTATCTGGGTATTCTGAGACTTCTGATGAGAAGTATTCTCAGGCTGAATGTTTCTATAACTGTAACCCCAACAGACAGTATAACTGAGTCTTGCATAAAAGCTGGTTCATGATCCTCTCTCTTTCTGAAATTACTGCCCTATCAGTGATTCTCACCAACACAAAATCTAACAAGATTAAACCACAATGGAAATCTGAATAGACTTCAAATTATTAAGGGGGTTGAGGAAGGAGTGAACAAAACTCTGACAATAAAAAGCCATGGAAATGATTACCAGTAAATTCTACCAAACATTTGAAGATTTATCTTTCATCATTCTCAAGTATTTTCAAAAAGAAGAGCAGGAAACGTTCCTCAAGTCATTCTATAAAGCCAGCACCACAGACCAGAATCCTTCATGAACACTGATGTCAAAATACTCAGCAAAACATAGCAGCAAACTAAACTCAGCAGCTTATTAAAAGTACCACATTTCTGTAATACTGGGAGTAACCTCATCACATAAAAAGATCTCCGAAACACCAACAGTTTAGTAAAAAAGCTTCAAGATCAATTTCCCTTCAAATTGGCTATGGTTTTTTTGTTTGTTTGTTTAGTTTTTTGAGACAGGGTCTCACTATGCAGTTTAGACTGGCCTCGAACTCACAATGATCCTCCTGCCTCAGCCTCCCAAGTGCTGGAATTACAGGCGTGTGCCTGCATGCCCAGCTCAGCCATATTTTAAAGCATATGCACAATAAAAACTTTCAGAAATGTTCATAAATAAGAACCTGAAAAAAGAAAAGATTTATAAAAATCTAAATTAATTATGTAATATATTTAACGTACACTATTCTAAATTACAACATATATTCTATGTAAATGAATTCTGGCAAGTACACATAGAAATTATAAAAATTAATAAAACAATCTGTGCAAATCAGTTAAAATACACTCAAAGAAAATATAATTTATTTCACTTAAGTATTAAATTATTTTTAAAGTAAAAATACAAAAATAATTTTAAAATGTTTTAGTTTCTAGTATTCTAGGAATAAAGAAATTTCTTAAAAAGAAATAAAAAAAAACAGTCATGTTTCACAGCCCTTAATTTTAAGATCAGGTCAAGATTAATTGCCTAACGCTGCTGATGTACCCATAAGGGAAAAAGAATGACACGTGTGTGTGTGGGTGTGTGGCCTATATACCCTGAGACATAAACAATGCTGGAAATTATTTTAAACTGTTTTAAATTAACTTGCCCTCAAAACAACATCATAATTTTAATAACAGAGTTTTCTATAACTACAGCTCAGCAATATGTATGGTGAACTAAGAATGAAAAGCCATAAATAATACAAAGATGATCTAACAGTTCCACACTAAATTTGATCTTTATATAAAATCATCTTAAATAGGTTTCTCTTACCAAGTATAAAAATGGAAAGTATTAATTAGTGTGAGTCAAATTTCAAAGGTTGCTCTATCTCAACCAACTTAATTGAGATAGCCAGAAATCACATTTGATTCTATTTTAAAATGAGACAGATTGATCAGAAAACGCTTTTAATTTTAAGGAAAACATACTAAAATAATTGAGAGCAAAGGGAATTTGGTAAGTTATTTTAATACTTATTTTTCCTATAGAAATCCTTAAACTTACCCCTTTTTATAGATTAATATGGCCACCTAGAGGAGAAAACATGACCCACAAACACACCATCACATTTTTGCTTTTTCCTACAATATCTGTATTTCAGGCTTCTAATAGGAGACCCAGTTAAAGGGATCATCTTGCATGAAACACTCATTGAGATCACTCAGAGAGCAACATAAATTTCGTGGTGGGACTGACAAGCAGTTTTTAATAACATTGCTTTGTGACTTTAGGTTAAAATTACTTATCTAAAATTGCTTTTCACTTTTTAAAATTTTTATTTTTATTAGTACCTGCTTGCGGTATATAATGATTACACTCACAGTGGGGACTTGGTGCATGTGCATAACACAGCCTAATTCTTTTTATGTCCCTCTCTTCTCTCCTCCTCTGTCTCTTGGTTCCCTTACCATGTGCAAAAGATCTAGCTCCCTATTTACTATTATCTTTCATTTTGCTCCTTGGTTTATTTATACTTTGGGTTTCTCATTTGGGGGAAACCATGTGATGTTTAAGCTTGTATGTCTGATTGATTTCACTTAACATTGTGGTCTCAAGGTGCATCTATTTTGCTAGAAGTTTATCCTTCTTTATGACACAGTAATACTCCATTATGTATAAATACAAGTCCTCCTCAGAGGAAGAGTGTACTGGGAGTCCTCGTGGTTCTCCACAGAGGTAGCTATGTGGGTGTGTAACACCCTCCCCCAACCCCCACCATGAGCATGTAAATGTGTTCTAGAAGCAGATTCTCCTCCTGCCAAAATACACAGCACAGAGGGGAACCGCTGGTGGGTGAAAGGAAAAGGTGACTCATTGGGTTACAAATCCTTCAACTTATTTCTGGTCCCCTGTTCATCCTAAATCCCAGTGAGAGCACTTTACCGAAGATATCTATCTCCATCTGGATAATCCAGACACTTCAGACTCAGCACAGTCAATGCTAAATTAATTGTCCCACCAGCTTGCTTCTCCAATGCTCTTTTACCTAAGCATCCTGATTCTCCACTCGCAGCACACATTCAGCCATTCATCAAGAGGGTAAATCCATCCCTACTTTGTCCCTAAACTCCTTGCTATTGAACATCTTCTTACTACCTAACTGATGCTTTTTGCCTCTGTGGCTCCAATCTGCTCCAGGTGTTCATCAAATAATTTAGGTCAGAAATGTGTGGAAAAGTCCAGGAGGGTTCAAAACACCTGGGTAAAATGAGATGAGGTGACTCTCAGGCAGCTGCACCAGTTCAAAGTTGAGGACAAGAACAGAAAAGCCACACAGGTTACAGTGCTTTCCTACCACTCTTACTGTAAGAGTACAAAGCCCATGCTAGAATGAAACGACTGCAGAGGAAAACAATGAAGACAGCAGAGAGAACAGCGTGTGGGAAGGAGTGCGTGCTGCGTCTGCAAAAGGGAAGGGCCTAGGGTCACAGATGCCCAACTTGAGGCTTGTTCACCACAACCTGACACCACCCCGGCACTCTCTGCACTGCTCTCATGCTCAACGGCTTTAAAGAGACACCCACCTACTACATGCCACACCCTTGCTAAAAATGGTACCACATAAGTCATCTGATTTAATCTGACAACCATAGCAGGCTGCTGCCATCCACATTTTACACACAATGAAACAGCAAAACACAAGCCACACTGCCCAAGGTTTCCCAGTAAATTCCGGTACTACATTACAGTAAGTCCCACATTACAGCCAGCGCCAGAATGTCAAGGATCAAATTCCAACATCTCTGCTCTTTCTGCTCTATTGTTAATGCGACTGGAGGTGCAGGAACACTGGGAGCTGGCTTCACTGCTTTGCATCACTATCTTTGAAAGCACACGTCTCGTTTTCCCTGTACCAAAAGGCATGTTTGAGCATGGCCTCCATGTGAAGTAGTTTTTATTTCTTCTTCTGCATCACATAATGATACTTCTAGATGCTAAACATTAAGTACATGATTGATTTATTATTATACTGTGTACTAACAAAAAAAGTAAGGTATACCAATCCTAAGTCAGCATGAAGTCACACACAAAAACATTCTTTGGCCCATTTGACAACTTGTGTCCTGAGGTAAGACTAAACATAAATCACTGTTATAAAATCAAGAATTTGTGCTTGCAAATACTAGAAGTGACATTTAAGATGTACTGTTCTTTTCTTTATTCCTGGGTATAAAGATAAAACTGCTATAGAGATCATATTCTATTAAGCAAGTGAACAAGGTGTTTAAATGTAGAAACAAATACGCTCTAACTAACAGCATAACCTTATCTGTATCACAGAAGGACGTACATACATGCAACAGTGGACTTATCACCATTCACACAGGCTGTATCCGAAAGTCCCTGTCAGCACAAAAGTTGAAACCAATGAGACAAAATAGCAATCCCTGAAATCACGGAAGTCCTTGAACAATTCCTTAAACTGTTGGGAAAGCATACTGTACTATAGCACCCGTTTTCAGTACATTCATCTCGGACCGTTCTTCCCCTCCTGCACGGACGGCTCGCATTGAGCTCGGGCTTGGGGCAGTGGGAAGGGAAAAGCGCCCTTCTCCAGGGGAAGCCACACAGCTCCGGGGCCAGGACCCGCGCCCACGTCCACTGAGAACTGCGCACGCGCTGCTCCCCGTGCATGCGCAGCAGGCATGTTCAGTGAGGAGCGCTCACTAGAGTGATCACGTTATTTACGCTACTTGGTGTTTTGCTTTTGGGTACTCTGGTCCTGGTTTTGATTTCTGACGTAAGCCCAAAGCTTTTCTAAGAAACATGACTGAGAGAAACACATGCTCTCGTTTAGTGTGCAAGCACAGGTGCCTAGAATTTCAGACACAATATGGTCAGGCGTCATTTTTTAAAAGTAAAATCAACTGTCTTACCTTCATCTACTGACGCTTCACTACTGTATCCATCATACTCCGCAGATAAAGGACTGTACTTTTGTCTTGTTTCCCAAGCATAGTTCTTTTGTCTAGAATCTACCAATGGCAGTCTAGAACTGTGTGTTCTGGACAAAGCCTCATGATATTTACCCAAAGCTTCATCTTCACTTTCAGACGACGAACCATGCTCATCTCTGTCCATGTAGGAATTATCTATTTGGAATGACAGGGAGAGGAAATGATAATTTTACAACACTGAAGTACAAGAACCTTACTAGAATTATACACACAAGTAAGCACACACTCAAAAACTACATATATATGCACACATATATATGTATATATGTATATATATATATGTCAATATGTGAGGGGAGCCAATTTAGAGATGAAATAATCCTTGAAATTACTGACTTCCTTGAAAATGCCTTAAGTTGCCTTCAAAACACAGTATAACATGTATTTTTACATATAAATATATACATACACACACACAAGCTGAATTTTCAGTTCTAGAGAGGTATAACCTTTTCACGGAGGAAGTGCAAGCTTTAGATTTTTGTGTTTTAATACAAAAAATCAATTTATAGTCTATATTAATAATCTTCAATCACGGGATGTTTTTCACACTTGTTACACATGAAGTAAATTACAGTGCTTGTCATTTTACACAGCTTTTTAAAGTTGTAAGCACTGCCAGTACCTGATTCAAATAATTTATGTTACAAGATGTATTTTTTCTTTTCACTTTGGCTAATGTTTTCAAAACTGCCAATGCTCAGTTCTAACCGTGAAACAGAAAAATGGGCTGACACAATCACTGGCAGAATTATAATTTCTACAACTTTTATAGAACAAGATCGCAAAACACACGTAATTTTGAAATCTATAAAATCTTGGCTCCATTTCTTAGGAAGTAATTAGCGGGTGAACAAGAAAATATGTTTGAGACAATTTACTCCATTATATATAGAAAAAAGAAAACCAAAATAATAGATAACACATACATCCATCATTAGGCCCAGTTACATTCTAATCTATGCGAGGACAGAGTCCTTACAAATGGGGAGGTGAACTCACAAGCACAGAAACAACAATGACAACATCAGATTGCAAGAAAAGAGAAAGGTTATAAAACAGAAGGTGAACCTGTATTCCTGTTTTAAATATGTGTATAGTACACACCTCCCTGGATGCAATATATACCACAGACATGCAATGTGTGTATGTACAAACAAAATGCATTCTCCCTGGAAGAATATATGCCAAACTGTTAACCCTTCTTATCTGTAAAAGGTGAGATTAGTAGAAATATTTTAAATATAAATAAATTTCCAACAAATTTTTCAAGACATTAAAAGTTGAGCTAGGCCAGGTGTGCTGGCACAGGCCTATAATCCCAGCACTTGGGAGGCTGAGGTAGAAGGATTTCTTTGAGTTCAAGGCCAACTTGAGCTATAAAGTAAGTTCAAGGCCAGCCTTAACTTTATAATGAAATCTTGTCTCAAAAAGACAATAAATAAATAAATAAATAAATAAATAAATAAATAAATAAAACTAGAACTCTGCCATTGAAAATTCTCCTGGACAGCACTGAGATGAAGGTAGAGACAGTCTAGAACCAAGGCCCCTGACTCCCAGTTTAGAGCTGTGAGTGCTCTGTCAGATACCAGAGTGGTGGTGGTCATAGGCAGCGAGGGCCTGCCAGACTCTATGGTCACACTGTACCTACTACCGCATGTTACCAGAGTGAGTACTGTACTCATCAATAGAGAAGAGCGGGGCGCAATAGCATGCATGGAACCCTAGTACTCTAGGAGGCTGAGGCAGGAGGATCACAAGTTTAAGCCCAGCCTAGACAACTTAGTGACTTGACGAGACTGTGTTTCAAAATAAAAATATTTTTAAAAATGAATGGGAGCATTAGGTATGGTAAATATGTACTAATAAAAATTTTTTAATTAAAAAATAAAAAAAGAGCTAGGGATATAGCTCAGGGTGGAGGCTCTGAGCTCAATCCCCAGAAATGAAAAAAAAAAAAAAAAAAAAAAATATAAGAGATCTCTCCTTTTTTTATAGTTCATAACTCCTACATCAGAACCTAGAATACACATGCTATAAAGGTAATATTACAAATCAGCTAAATGAAAGGTTAATCCGTGGGTCAAAAATTCTCAAAATGGCCAGGCATGGTGGCACACACCTGTTATCCTAGCACTCCAGAGGCTCAGGCAGGAGTATTTCCATGAGTTCAAGGCCAGCCTGGGCTACATAGTGCATTTAAGCCCTGCTTGAATCACAGAGCAAGACTGTGTCTCAAAAAAAAAACAAAAAAAACAGCGAATTCTCAAAATGATGTTTGGGATAAAGCATGTCTCAGTGCAGTACTGACTATATTTTGAAGAGGTCGACAGAGGGTTTCTTTCAGTACCAGTGTACTTCTTTATGAACTGGTTACTGGTGCCCATCCTGTTGTTATTTTCTGAGTAAAATAACATGTACACTATTTTTACTCTTAGGTACTCTGCCTTTACTTTTAATTATTTGTTTACTTTTGCTATTTCAACTAATAAGGCTACCAGGGCTACTAAAAGCCACTGTATCTGACATCCAAAAACTGGTATAAGAATAGATTCTACAATGGGTATGTTTTCCAGAATTGCCATTCCTTTTTCATCAACTCATCCATCCTAACCAGCCTCTCCTATGCCATTTAAAAAGCATTCATATGATCAATAAGTAGCAACGCTACTATACGTAAGTCATGCAGCACAACTGAAAAAACGTTTACCTCATCTCTATAGCTACTCGGTTTATATAAGAATCTGAAATGGAAAAACTCCAGAGGTATACTTTATAAATAAATGCCAGGGAACTTTAGGCCTTCTAATCAGATCAGACATAAACAGAGATGACTAAGGACTATCTGAAGTAATTCCTATCAGTATGAACCGCAATAATGTTTTCAAAATTGTCAAAAATATTGTGGCTAAAAACTATAAGTGCTGACTCAGAATGTTCACTCTTTATTTTAAAAACTCATGAATAATAATAATATGTTATTTATATCTACTCGTTATAAACTACAAGAGTCATGTAAAAGTTTTAATGCATGGTTAAATGAATAGACATATCCTGAAAGATGTTATTAAATAAGATTTACTGCTCTCTCAAACACAAAACATTTTCTATAGATTTTATATTATGGCAGATTTGAAAAGCAATGTTGTACAAAGGACTTAGAAGTTAGTTTTAAAGATGCAAAATTTTAAATGCAAGACTCTAACAGCCAAATAAACTTCAGCTAAAGTATGCACACTACTTAAGAAAACACAGAGTTTCCGCTTGTAAAATAAATGCTCATTAAGAAAAAACATGGATGCTGAAAAATTGGCTAAACAACACAAAGAGCAGGGGCAAAACTGAGTGGTGCCTAAATAATGATCCTGAAACTATTAGAAAAAACTGAATGGCTTTTAACTATCTCCCCAAAAGATGATCCAAAAAAGTCTTAAATTAGATATATAGATAAGGATAGGAAAGTTGAGAAATTTGAACTTTGTTTTCCTAAATTTAAAAAAAAAAATCAAAAGAAAATTTAATCACTCAAACCAACACTATATGAGACCTCACCTTCTTCTGGTATTATCTTAGAATATTTTTCAACTTTACTCTTTGCTGTCCCTTTCTTGGTAGAACTGGCTTCGTTTTGGTTTGTTTGTACGTCTCCTCTCACTTTGTGGTATGCTGCTGGGTTTATCTGTCCTCTGATTTCTCCAGGAAACTTATCTTTCGAATTAGTTGAAAGTGCCAAGGATACATCTTCTTTCACAGTGGATTTCTGTGGCCTATTTCTCTTGCTTGTGTAAACATCTTTTGGACAACATTCATTTCCCAAACACTCACTCCCTTTGAATCCTTTATTTTTGAATTGTTTTTCAGCTTTCTTAAAATGATCAGAATGCCCTACATCAAGATTTTGATTTTTATTGAAAGGTCCCATTTTCTCCTGATCTCCTCCCACAAGCACAGGTTGAGATTGTATTTTGTGTTTATCTGTAGCCATGTACTTCTTTTTCTCATATAATATGTTTACTCCATGGGTGGGATTCTGACTTCCTTTCATTCCTTGGTACCTTGACTCCTTTACATCATTCTTATCATTCCTGGAGATTAATAAACCAATTGTTTTACATCTGTCAGTACTTTCAAGTTCATGACAAGTCGATTCAGCCCTTGGACTCTGCCTGTTTACTGATATCCCGCCAGTATTCATATGGCTTTTCAAAGACTCACCAGTATTACTGAATTCTTGGTACCCTAATAGAGTGTGCTGCCTATCGCTAATACATGTGAGCAATCTCTCTTCATGCATCCCTCGTTCTTGCTTTTGTGAAGCTGAAGTAGTATAACAATTCATTGGCTCTGCTCTGTGTTCCGCGCTGGACTGTGTTTTCTGATGAGCAGTGTTTCTGGAGACATCTGATGACACGGCATCCTTTGACTCAGAAGTGTCTCCAGCTTCTTCTGCTGCCGCACCTTCCTCTAGGTGAAGGCCATTTATCATACTTGTCACCTGCTCAGCAACTGAATCAGTGAAGGCATAGCTGACCTCCCCAACAGCAGTGGTCAGGTCCTCCACAGCACTACTGATTGTGTCCACAAGGGAGGACACTGAGGGGAGATTCTGCTGAAAATTTTTGAAAAATGCCATTTTCTATGTCCTTGTTCCTAAAAGATGCAATAACTGAATTTTCTCTTCCCAAAACATCAATTACTTTGGAACTGAGATTTAACATTTACTTAAATGTTGCGACTCAATATTTCAGTATTAGTATTTCACACCGTGGCTTTTACTCTTTCTGTAAATACAACATGTATGAAAGAAGTATGTTGAAGTAAAGACTCTTCTGGGAAATATTTAAAAATCAAAGCACTTGGCTTAAGTGTAATGATATTTTTTCCCACTGCACAGTATCTTAACAGCAGCAAGACAACACTGTCCCCTCAAACACTACTGGCTTTTTATTCTATACCTGAAAGAAGAAGTATAAAGAGGATTTTTATTATGTACTTTTAGTTTACTTATTAATATCTGACACAAGGGGACTACCATATTAATTACCAATACCATTCCAAATTAAGGAAAACATCTAAGGGAGACCATGTGAGCAATTCTGCATAGAAGTAACATAGTGGAAAGCAGGTGCGCTCCTCTGGCTAGCAGCACATACAGGCGCTAAACTGATACATTTCCTCTTCTCTGATTTCATAATAGCTACAAGGTAAGTACTGTTCCTATATAGTAAATGAAAGAAAAACAAGACTCAGAAAAAAATGAGAAGTTCCCTAAGACCTTTGCAAGGGCTCCTGAAGGTCAACCTAGCTTAACAGTAACACTAAGGGAATGGTAACTGGTCCCCTGCCGCTGCTCCCAAGAGCACACTGGGACTTTCCAGAGGCTATGTGACAAGACTGCACGCGGAAGGAGACGCCGGACTCTCGTTATGCCTGGCATGAGAGACTTGGGAAAAAATGTAAATATGCCACTCTTCTCTCCAACTTTTTTTGTTTTAAAAAATATAGCTTTAAATTTAGAAATGTTATTTATATTAATATGTAATAGCCTTGTTAGTTTTTAGAAATAAATTTATAAAAAAATTTTAAAATTTGTTATAGCTTCTAATACAATACATATTAATAGATACAATCCACATAAACAATAGTGGATTTTTAGGGTTCTCAGTGATTTTTTAGGGGTGTAAAAGAGGTAATTAGAAAAAGAAAAACCAGGAATGTTGACTCCAGAGAATTACTGAAGGCTACTGGAAGAGCTGTGTTTAACCACTTCACTCCACACAAATTACCCAAACACAGGACTGGAGCTGAGTATGAGAAACAAGTCAGAGCTCTATAAAGTACCACCATTGCTGAACGAAAGTGTCACAAGTGTAACTTAATAATAGATTTTTATAAGTAATGGGGCTCTCACTTTTTAAATTCTCAGAAATAAGAAAAAAAGCATTTCTCCAACATATGTACATAGACAAAAAAAAAAGCAAGATTTCTCTATTATTCCTCAAAACTCTTCTAATTAATACCTTGCTTCTGTAACTTTCAATTTCTTGCTGCTATCATTTATACAAGGCAGACTCTGAAAACAGCAAATTAGAAACGCTTACACTAGTTGAAAATAAAAACCTCCAAGGAATTTTTCTGTGTCAAAAAGAACGATATATCTTTCATCTTTCCTAGTATTTAGTAATACTAAATAATACAATGCCTATGGTACCAAGATAGGGAGTGGAACACTACTTTTTATAAATATATGGTAAATGTTTAAACTTTTTGAAATTTTTACAGTAAAACACAGTGCTATTAATCCTCCTCAAATTACTCCCCCTTAGGTCAATCACATGAATCTCATCTTTCTTGTCATATTCTGAAACAGTTCTGGAAATCTTCTTTTGTGAAATAAATAAATAAATATATATATATGGGGAATTCCGCTGCTGAGTGCCATCCAATGGAAAGGCACACTCATTCAGATGTACGGTGTGATACTCATCCACCTTATTCACCAGATTTGGCACAGTGAAAAGTAAACATTTTGAATCTATTCAGGACACCGATGCAACTAAAAACACTCATAAAGTAGGACTTCCAGACTGCTTCCGAAAGCTGCAAGAATGGTAGCAGAGGTGTGTCCCAAGCAAGGCAGGGTACTCTGAAAGGAATTAATGGCAATGTGTCTTTTACTGTAGTAACTTTTAAAATTTAAACGTTCACCATACGTTTGGTCACACCTCATATCTATACACTAAGTGACTAGGGCAAATCTTATCTAAGCAACAAAATTATTCACCTGCTGAGAATTATTCAGTAGTTCAAAGTAAAGGGTGAGTTCTATCAGACATCTTCGGGGGCATGGGCCAAGCACACAGGGCAATGCATTTTAAATATGCAAATATCAAGCTACTGTCTTCTTCCTATAGCACATCTGCTTATGTATGGTCTCCAAAACATATTTATAAATGAAAAATAAGGTTATTCTGTGACCATAAACAAGTACTGTATATAATATTTTAGTACTTCATGAGCAACAGAGGACATCTAAACATAATTTATTTAATAGATCCGCTACTGTTACACAATAATGGCTCAAACATAAGTTTATTATGTCAAATCCATTCTTTTATTGTATACATAAAAATAAAGAATAGTACAGATAAAAAGGGAAGAAGAAATATGATACTTACACATTTTATCTTGTGAATTCTTCCTTGCACCATATCCTGATCCAAGATCTGGAAACCCGCCAACATTTTCAAAACAGAACTTCTTATTAATATAGAGAAAAAGGAGCAGCATCAAGATAATAAACACCCCAACAGCTGACAAAAATCCAACTGCCTCTGGAGATACTAGAGAAAAAAAAGTCACAGCTGTAAGCATTTATTATTCCTAAAGCTACAAATAAGAAGGAAACCCCCACATGTAAGTTAAATTACTGCCTTATTTGAATTACATTTTTAAATCATCATAGTTTAAAATAGTTTATAAGAGAAACAGTGAAGTTTAGTGACAGTTGTTCAATACATTCAATAACATTCATTCAATTTCTCTAAGTTTCTCTATGAATTATGTTGAAACAATTTCGAAAAACTTTCTCCAAAATAGGCAGTCAATAAATACATAATACACTGAAGGATATTACAAAAATTTAAACAGAAGATTAGAAAAATATTCCTCATGTACAAGAACTATCAGATCCATGAGAACACGTACTATCATGCTTATCTCTAAAGCTTTGTTGGCCCCTTCTTAGCAAATAAGCTCTGGACCCACTACTGGCATGTAAAGCTCCAGCCTCTCTTCAGCGTGTACTCCAGTCAGACAGGCCTACTCCACTGCCTCAGAATCACTGTGTCAACACCACATTCCTGTGTTTGTTCATCCTCTTCCCCTTGCTGGGGATGGCCAAATCTTCTGCATTCCTGTATCCCACTCATGCACTCATCAACAAGGACCTCTGAAGCATGACCACGCACCAGGTATTGCTACATGCACAGCTCCTGTTTTTCTTGAACAATGAGGTGAAGGCAATTACTGTACAACAGTGTCATAATGTATGTGACTGGGGGAGAACAGAGACAACAAGAACCACATAAACCCTTGATGCAGTGTTGGAGCAGCAAATGAGCTTCTCTGAAAAGTCTATGGCCTCCAAAATGGTATCTTAAGAGCTACTAAGAATGAGAGATGTTAACACTATCCCAGGTAGAAGGACACTGTACATGAAGTCCTAGAGCTGGGAGATCACTGTACATGCCAAAAGCTGAATGAAATTTGTTCTGATGAGCTACCAAATTTTCAAAAGAATCTGTTCTCAAGAAAATACACAAGGTCCAAGTGTGATGGCACACACCTGTAATATCAGCACTCAGGAGGCTGAGGCAGAAGGATTGCTGTGAGTTCTGAGCTATGTAGTGAGACCTTGTCTCAGGAGACAGACAGAGAGAGAGAGAGAGGTGGGGAGGGAGAAGGGGAAGGAGAAGGGGAGGGGGGGAGGGGAGGAGAAAGAGAGGGTGCGGGGAGGAAGGGAGGGAGAAAGAAGGCGGGGAGACAGATGAAACCACCCAGGGAGATTTTATAGAGTGAGAGTCCTCTCCAACTTTTCCAGTCCCCAGCAATCTCTCTTCCTGTGAACTTGCACACTATTTATCACTACACGAGTCATTTGGAGTTAACAGGAACTAAAATTTCATACATCCAGTGTCTTTCAAGTATGGGTTGAGAATGAACCTGGGGTCTCAAATATTCCCCACAAACTACAACCTACTTTTTTCCATCAGCTGAGCAGCACCTAACATGCTATCTCCTCCAATATTCTTCCATAAATGGGAGAACCGTGGTAATCCACACTAACCTATCTGTTACAAGTAAGTGACCAGCTAGTCAATGAGCGCCTTGGTCTCCTGCTTCTCATTGTCCGTAGAAGCCAGGCACACCAGCAGTGACGCAGAGTATGGCCCTGCACTCTACTCGAAGCCGTCTCAACAGTGCTGTGGCAGCAGATGGATGGCAGCGCCACCGCCTGCCGCGGGGGAGGAGCGGCGAGGGCGCGTGCTGGTGCGGGTGTCAGGCTGGTGTTGGAGGCAGATCCCATCACAGACTAGGAAGTCACATCTTGACACCAGCTCTGCCAGTCTTGTTCTCAGGCTGGAACACAGCCTGGGAAGGAAGCAGTGTTGTGACAAAATAAGCTAAGGCATACAACAACAACAGCAACACAGGGGCATGCGGGAGCCTTGAAGGAGGAGATAAAAATGAACACAGAATTGCCATCAGCATTTCTATGAGTTTCATAAGCAAGTCAGAAACTGGTGTAAAGACACAAAGCAGAACAGTACTTCAACACTATCCTGTAACAGTAAGTGGTGCAGAGGCTTCCTCCTAGCTTGGGCCCAGAACACACCCAGAAAAAACTTAACGCCTCAAGCGGCTACACAGGATTAGATATTATGCAACCCAGAAATCTCACATTTCTTGAAAAACCAAGAAAGTCTACATCACGTAAAGAAAGCCAGGAGCTGCTGGCAAAAACAGCAACAAACACGTGTAGAATATACTATGTTGATATTCATCACTTTAAGCCCTTCACATAAATCAACTCATTTAATCTTTTAAAAAATCCTATTATCGTCCCCATAACAAACTGAGAAACACGGGTAGGAAACCATGTACTTTCATTTCCTTACTTTGTCTTCCTCCTTCCTTTCGAAAACTTTCAGCCCTGGGGGAAAGATCGACTGTAAACAAGTGTGCCAGGATGTATTGTATTAACTAGTTTAACAGAGGTAGGAGTACAAATGACTACTGCGTCACAAAGAGAAACATTCCCTGAGAAAGTCACAAAACGACTTATCAAGGAGAGAACACTGGAGGAGGGCATGACAAACTATAACCAGGAAGAGGACGGAGAAATGTGCGAGGAAAGACACAGTGGATGTGACACGCCACAGGCACCGAGGGGCCCCGCCACGGCTCTCTTATTCACACTACCCTCGATCTACCGAGCACAGTACTGTCAGCACAGCTGACACAAAAACGTGTGAATGCATGCATGACGATGTGTCTCCTCCTATTTCATGTGAAAAATGTCACTTGCTAAATAAAACCAAACTTTAAAATGTAGGTGCTGAACTTTCTTAATGGTAAATCTCTTAGATTACAAGTTTTTAGATAAATATATACTGTGACATGGGACAAACTTTTTAAAAAGCTTTCCCTTCTAAGAAAAGATAAAATATGTCTGCAGTAAACATACTAAGCATACAACATTTTCAGTAAGAATAAGATTCGGGGGCTGGGGATTTAGCTCAGTGGCAAAGCGCCTGCCTGGCAAGCGCAAGGTCGTGAGTTCGGTTCCCGGTACCAGAGAAAACCCCCCTCCAAAAAAAAAACAAAGAAACAAAGACTGAGATTTCCCCCTAGCATCTTATCTAACAATGAATCCACTTATGAAACTACCCTTTCTACATAAGTATTCCTAAGAATACATTTAATTATACATAAGTGTATCCTTTTCAAGTCTTCTAGATCATCCACTGCAAACAAGAAGATCCATATAAAAATGCCTACCTCCATTTAAACGGGGCCTTCAAAGTGTCTACTGGAAAGCACACAGTGAGTTAGGTTAGGTTAGTATTATACTTTTGAAGAATCAATTTGGCTGAATGCAGTAAAAAACTCAATATTCACTAATGCGCTGTTTTGCCCTCACCCAAATTTATAATATTTTAATATGCTAGACAAAATGAAGATGAGCTAACAACAATATTAGCAATCTCAAATACCTAAGAGTTCTCATGACTTACCAGGGACTATTAAGCGCTTTGTGAGCATTATCTCCTCTCATCCTCACTATGACCCAAATGGACATATACATATTTCTTAAGTTTTTTGTTTTGTTTTATTTTGGGTTTTTTGAGACAGGATCTCGCTATGCAGTTCAGACTGGCCTTGAACTCACTGCGAGGCCAGGCTGGCCTCAAACTCACAGCGATCCTCCTGCCTCAGCCTCCAAGTCCTGGGATTACAGGCATGTGCTAGCATGCCCAGCCCAAAGTGATAGATACAGATACTGACACTCTGAAAAGGGTACAATTTTCAAGATGTTTACACTGTTATTCAGTGAGAGAATCTGGATTGGAACTCTGCTGGACTCCTGAACGCACACTGTTAACTGCTAATCTCTTTGCTTCCCACTGGCTGGGCACTGTTGTCGTCTGTTTTCATTTTAAGACATAACACTCAAAACAACATGACGATAGGTAAGTAGAATGATACTGCACATTAGTAAACTGAGGCCCATAAAATAACTTATCCAAGTCACAGATCTATGAAGTGGAAGAGGCTGGACTCGAACCCAGACATCCTGACTCCAAAGTCCATGATGCTAAGCCTGAGCAACACTTCCTCATGCCAACCGCATAGAGAAGTAAGAGAAAGGTGTGCAGCCAGGGTGACAGAGCTGACTGCACATGTTATGAGCAATACTGCACTGTATTACTTAGCTTTCATGTAGGTGAAAAGATACCAACTGGTTTCAATTTTCTCAAAATAAATACATAAATTATCAAACTGAAATCACAATTTTTCTACTGAAGTTTCAAAGCTAGGCATGATAGTGCATATCTGTAATCCTGGCACTTTGGGAGGCTGAGGCATGAAGATTTCAAGATCAAGCCCAGCCTGGGCAACTTGATGACTTAGAAAGACTTTGTCTCAAAACACAATTTTTTTTAGAAAGGGGGACTGGATGCAGATCAGTGCAAAGGCCCTGGGTTCAATCCCCAGTACCACAGACACACAAAGATATGTTTTAAAATTCATTTTAGAACTACTCTGAGAAAATAACATCAATGACACATTCTTATGAGCCACATCTGAAAGTTAACGATACTTTCAAAACTGCAAGTACTCTGGCTGGGCATGGTGACATACACCTGTAATCCCAGAACTTGGGAGGCTGAGACAGGAGGATCGTTGTGACTTTGAGGCCAACCTGGGCTACATAGTGAGTTCAAGGCCAGCCTGCACTACAAAGTGAGACCCTGTCTCATAAATAATAAATAAACAAACAAACTATAGGTATTCTACAGAACAATAAGTTCACTGTGAGTTATATGACACCATATTAAGTAGAGAAGGGCACAAGTTATAGTATCTCATCAGAAAACACAGAAAGTTCAGTTTGTCCAAGATGAGTGATTATTTATAATACATAAACTAAACTGGTTCTGGTATTTATCTTTATATTCAGAAATGAACATATGTACTTGCAAAACACCAAACTTTAAAGAGATTCTACTGTCATAATTCAACTTTCACTAATAATGGTAAAAGTTATTTTAATTTC